ATTTGCCATATTTGGACTCTTTGGTTCAGATTAAGAGCCGTGACACAAATCGAGTCCAAACTGTAGCGGGGTCCCTCGCGGACGTGTTACACTATGAGCCTTACCACTATCACTTCACCCAACCGTGCTTGACTCGTATCCAAGGCTTGTTGGTCTCCCTTCCACCAAGTACACTGTTGTGTAGTCCCAATCCTGATTTATTTCTCCTAACCGTGCTTGACCTGTATCCAGGACTTGTTGGTCTCCCTCCCACCAAGTAGGGTCCGAATTCTCGGCCGCCCTTCTCGGCGGCCCTTAAAAAAAACCCCCAAAACGACGTCGTTGTTCACTTCAAAAAAAAAATATATAATACTATAATTTTAAAAACTCAAGCTGGTGATTACTTGGGAACACGAAGTTGTTCACTTCACTTGAACGTTAACTGAACTGAAAAGAACAAATTGACTTTCCCTTGTACCCAAAAAAAAAAAAAATTAACAATGAAGAACACAAAACGATACACTCCACTCCAGATTACGAACTTCCATCTGAGAAATGCAGATCTCAACTCTCCTCTTCCTCCTCTTCTTCTCTCTCCTCTCCTCCACCACTCGAGGTAGATCTGATTCACTCTCCCTTTTCGTCTATGTATATATGTGCATGTATCGGTAATCTTTGCTCGATTTCAGGTTTTGCGCCATCTCCGTCACCGAGTTCCGGCGAAGACATTGAGGCCGATTCGTATGGAGGAGCTCAACCAGCTCCGGCGCCGGACAATTCGGGCGAGAATATATCGTGGTCCCCGCTGGCACCGGAGGAGACGGCATTGGAGACGACGGTGAGGTGGTGCGCCGTGAGAGATGAGGAGTTTGTGGATTGTGAGTACTTTATCAGTCTCTTGAAGCCCTCTGACGGTTACAATTGGCAATGGTACGACTGTGAGAAATTTTTTTTTTTTTTTCTTCTGAATTTTGGATCTGAAAGAGTGCCTGATCTGAGAATTGGGACATGTTGTTATGCAGAAATAGTACGATTTCAATCACAGAATAATAAATAGAAACAAAAAACAACATATGCATGATTCAGCCAATAAGTTTACATTCAAAGTCATTAATTTTACTCGCCAACAATACGTAGATGGTTTAAATTGAAATTAAATCAAATTTATTAAAAATAAATTTGATAAAAAATATTAATTATTTATTTTATTACAAGAGTTGAACTCAACCTACCTTTCTTAGTCCTCCCTCTAAAATGCTTCTTACAATAAGGCCAAGTTTGGGTAGTTTAAAAAAAGTTAAAAAGTCAAAAAGTTACTCAAAAAGTTAAAAAGTCATTACTATTCACCAAAAGTCAACAATTACGGTTGCACAATTCCCAATTCTAATTTTCTCCTACAAACTAATTTTTACAATTTTTTATTACACATTTTTCCATAAAAAGTCAAAAAGTTAACCCAAACATTCATATTTTCAACCTCAACTTTTTAGTCTAAAAAGACAAAAAGTACACTTATTTAGTCTTCCCAAACTTGGCCTAAGCTTTTGTTTGTTTTGACGTAAAATATTTTATACAATTTTTTTTTATATAAATTGATTTAATTACACAGAAAAAAATGTTTTTATTTTTATTTTTTAACGTTTGGTTGACACTTGAAACAAAAATATTTTTTTGCCTGAAAGATAATTTTTTATTCAATAAAGTGTCATTTATGATTTTTTAGTAAGTTAAGATATTTATTTGAAAATGTTAAATGTGTTGAAAAGGTAGTGGATGAGAGTTAACTTTATATAAATTAACTTATAGAATTTTAAAAGGTTAGTCATTTTTTTTTAAAAAAAAATTATACCAAAATATTTTTCGTAAAAAGTATTTTAATTACTTTTATTCAATCAAACAACAAAAAAAATAAAAAATATTTTTACAAAAAAATAAAAAAATATTATGACCCAAATAAATATACTTATTTAAATAAATACCCTTATATCAATCATGTCAAATTACCCCTTTCATAGTATGACCCGTCAAGGGAGAGTTGACAACGACATAGTTTACAGGAAGTGACGGAGTCAAGAAATTAAATCAGAGAGGACACGTATTAATTACACTATTAAAATTTTTTATAAAAATATTTCACATTAATTTTTACCATTAATTTCAAGAAAGATAAAAAATAATAATAATAATAATCAGTGCGTTTGGTTTTAGTTTTCTGAATTCAGTTTTCTGAAAACTAAGTATTTTATTTTTTGTATTTTTTTTGTTTTAGTGAATATTTTTTAAATTTTAAATAATTTTTTTTACTTTTTTAGATGCACATTACTTAGATATGTATCCAAATAGTAAAATATTTGTGAAAAAATATTTTAAAAAATTAATAAATACACAAAAATACGAAAAATGTACTGAATTTTCATATTATTTTTATATTTTTTGGTAATTAGTGTATTTTTTAAAGATTTTTTTTACAAATATTATACTTTTTAGGCATATTTATGTTAGGTGTATTTAAAAATTAAAAAAATTTGCTTAAAATATTAAAAAAATTTATTGAAAACATTAAAATATGGAAAATAAAATTGTAAAATTTTTTGAAAACTATTTTTCGAAAACTAGAACCAAATAAGCTAAATATTATTTGTAATTAGTGCATCATGGACAATATTAAAAAAAGTCATGGATATAAACTTTTAAAATAAATTATATAATGATAAAGTAATTTTTTATACAAAATATGCATAAAAATTCAATATAATAGTTACACTACGTCATTATTAACATATGATATCACTAACCAATAGTAAAGAAACACATGGAGAATGAACGCTACATGTCAAATGTAACTAATAATTCAATAAATTCTATATTTTCATTTAGATTAATTATGCCTCCGTTTGGGAAGTGGGTTGGCTTTTTGGCTTTTTGGCTTTTTTGGCTATTTTAGCCTGGGCTAAAAAGTTTGGTTTGGGAATGGCTTTTTGACTTTTTGGCTTTTTTGATTTTTTTTGTGAGAGAAGAGTGTAATGATTATGGGTTGGATGTGATGTTTTGTTTGTTGTGGCTAAAATAGTCTGTTTTGTCTTTTGTGACTATTTTAGCCCCAACCCAACTTGCCAAACACCACCTATGTTTGCATGTCAATAGTGATAAACATTACTATTATATTGAAATTTTCATAGATAATAATATCGTAATCACTTTATTTTCAATTAAAATGACAATTATTATTCTTATTATTTTAAAAATATCATTGACATTTAAAATAATATTTTTATAAATTTTTTTTATTTAAAATATTTTCTTTATTTTTGTTTTAAAAAAAAATTCAAAATTCAGGAGGACACGTGACCCCCCTGGGCTCATGTTAGCTCCGCCCTTGCTTACAGGTAAGATAATATTTGAGTAATAAGATTTTTAATTGATAAGATTAGAAAAACAAAGATTTTTAATTGATAAGATTAGAAAAACACACTTTATTACTCAAATATTATCTTACCTGTAAACTACCAGCCATTTGATTTGACTAAATGAATTTGTCTATTGAAGGATTTAAAAAGAGATTTGTAAAAGAATTTTGCACAATCTTTTTCATTTTTTTTTTTTTTTAATTCCTCTTCAAATATTTGAATCAAACACAACTAACAACCACAAAATGTATGGGTTTGCGGCAACAGCCAGGTGACGGAAGTTAACGGGGGTGTTTAGTGGAGCTTTTTTAAGTTAATTTATGATTTTTAGTTTTTAAAAAGTTATTTTGGACTGTTTGGTTAAATTTATTTCAAACAGCTTCTGATTCTAACAACTTATTTTAAGTCAAAAAAGCTGATTCTGAGAAGCTATTCACCCCTTGCTTCTGATTATCTGCTTCTGCTGTGGACATGTTAATTCACGATTATACTCTTAAATTTTTTTTATTTTTTATTTTTTTAAAAATAAAAAAAGACCCAAATGGACTATTAAATATTATTATTATTTTTTATAAAAAATGTAGACAAATAGTGAATAATAAAAAATAAAAATTAATTGAAAAAGCTACTTTACAACTTGTTTAACAAACACTACTCAGCAACTTAAATCTATAATTCAACAGTTATACCAAACAGATTAACAGCTTCTGATTAAAGTCATAATCTATAATCTGTTAAGCTATAATCTATAATCTGTTTTAACAGTTACACCAAACAGCACCAATGTGCTATAAAAATATAGGGCGTGTTTGGTTTAGTTTTGGGAGGTAAATTTTTTTAAAAAAAATTTGAAGAAAGAGTTTAGAAATTTTTTTGATTTGTTTGGTTATATATTTTGGAAATATTTCGGAGTATGGAAGTTTGGGACGATTTGATATTTTGTTGTAGTTGAGTAGATGTGTATGAGAGAAAAAATGATTGAAAATGAGAGATGAGAAAGAAAAAGTGATTGATTGATGTGTAGATAAGAAAAAGTGATTTTGGAAATTTTTTTCAAAAATTATATTTTGAGAGTTTAAACCAAACAAGGCCATAATATTACTAAGGGAATGGCTCCCCTTCAGTCTAACACTGGAGGGTATTGTTGGGCCTACGGGATTCACTATGAGTCCCGTTTTGATAATCCGAACTGTTAAATGTGTAGAACTCGTCGATTACTATATTTTTGTTAAAAATCATGTTGATCGGATATTCATACCTATGTGATCAAATCAGTTTTGTATGGAATAAAAACAGACAGTGAAAAATAAATAGTTTACAAAAATCTGATTTGATCACATAGTTATCAATATCTGACCAACATGATTTTTTACAGACATATAATATTCGACTAATTTTACATATTAACAGTTTAAATTATTAAAATGAGACTCGTGACAGATCCTCATAACTTTAATAATACCTTCTAATTCGATAACTTTAATAATACCTTCTAATTCGATCACGTACTAGAAGAAAATCATTCCCTATTACTAATTAGCGTAATGGGTAGGACCCAGATGCTCCAGCACATGCAATTGAGTTCAATTGGATCCTCAGCTTCTCCGCTTCCTTCCCCTTAGCCGAGGGTCGAGTAGAATGGAGTTTTCGTGCAAACATATATATATATATATATATATAATATATAGAGAGAGAGCGCTCTGACGGACACCTCTCCGACCACCACCTCCACCACTCCACATACATATAGTGGATGGTGATTAGAGGAGAAGAAAAAAAATAAAAAAATTTGACCAATGAGAGAGAGAGGAGGTCAAGGGATGATGGAGAAAAGGGTGTCTGGGTCTTTTTTCATGAAAAATGTTTCAAACCCCCTTTCCCTCTCACCCCCTTTGACTCCCTTTCCCTCTCATTAGCTAATTTTTTTTCTTCTTCTCCAATCACCAACCGCCACGTGCGTATGGGAGTGGTGATTGGAGGGGGTCTCTATCAGGATGAGGGGTCACTGCCGTGAGCCCCTCACTGTTGTTCTTGCTGTGAAATGAAACGGTGGCGTTTTGTGTGTATTTGCTTCTTTCTTTTCTTTTTTTTTTTTGTTTGGTTGGTTACTTTTTTACTTTAATTCTTAAAATTTATTTTTTTTATTTATTTTAGAGTTTAGAATTTAGGGTTTAGTTCTTAAAATTTATTTTTATTTTATTTTATGATTTAGGGATAAAATTTATTTTTTTATTTTAGGGTTTAGGATTTAGGGTTTAATTCTTAATTTTTTTTTTTATATTTTAGGGTTTAGGGATAAATTTTTTTTTTATTTTAGAGTTTAGGTTTTAGGGTTTAATTTTTAAAATTTATTTTTTATTTTAGGGTTTAGGATCTATGGTTTAGGATTTAATTCTTAAATTTTTTTATTTTAATTTTATGATTTAAGGTTTAGTGTTTAGGGTTTAATTCTTAAATTTTATTTTTTATTTTATTTTAGGGTTTAGGGATAATTTTTTTTATTATTATTTTAGAGTTTAGGGTTTGGGGTTTAATTCTTAAAATTTATTTATTTTTATTTTAGGGTTTAAGATTTAGAACAAAATGTAATTTATCATGCCAAAAAAATAAAGTCAGAACATGAAAAAAAAGAAAAAAGAAAAAAAAGAGAAGAAGATTAAACAATGTTGTTTTAGGGACAGCAAGCACAGTAGGGGTAACCCACTGCAGGGACCCCGCGTCCTCTCTATCAACACTGTTTTTCCATATATATTACTAATCAACTAATATCTATATAGCTGCCACTTAACTAACTTTATTATTATTTTTTTTTTTTTTGTTGGTATTGAGGATGAAATTAAGAGAAGATTACAAGGGTCATCACCTCTTATTTGTGTGAAAAATACTATTTGTCATGACATTTTAAAAATAAATATATTATTTTATATGTAAAATTGTCTCTAGTATATATCTCATGCATTCTCTTTCTATTTTGCACTAAACAAAACTTTTTCATTTTATTAAAAATTGCTTTTATGATATTTAATTTTTTTCTCTCTATATATATAATTTATATATCATATTATATATACATATGTGTTTATGTATATAATGAACAAAAAATTATTTTTTTTAACCCCTCTAATAATAAAATCCTCCTTCCGTCTATGGGGATACTGTTCTGATGTCTATATTCCCTTCTTTGCAGTGTCAAACAAGATACAGCTCAAGAGTGTATGGATTCAATAAAGAAAGGTCAGGCAGATATAGTAAACTTAGATGCAGGACTTGCTTACATTGCCTTCCTCAATTACTCCATGAAAGCCATTGCCAATGAGATATACTGCAACCATGCCCAAACCTATGATGCTGTTGCAGTTGTAAACAGAAAGGCCTGCATGGCTAATCGGGCAATCAATGTGATGGACTTTAAGGGACAAAGGTCTTGTCATGGAGGCTACTCCACCGCTGCTGGCTGGAACTACCCAATGTCTCATATCAAGAAACTGTTTGATTCCAAGACAATGAGTGACCGGGAAATGGCTTTGAGTTTTTTCTCTGAGGTCTGTGCTCCTTCGGAATTTGAAGGAATGGGTGCTTGTACTGGGTGTGGAAAAGCGAATGGGTCGTGTAATGGGAACAGTTTGTTGTTCTTTGGTTACTCTGGAGCGTTTCGTTGTCTCGTGGGGGGATTTGGGGATATTGCATTTGTTAGAAGTGATACTGCTTTGCTCTACTCCATGGAAGGTCCTCAAAACCAGTCTTGGTCAACAAAATCTGTTAGAGATTTCATGTGGGTATATGATATCATTTGGTTCTTCAAATTAATGTGAAGGACCGATATTTTTAATTTGGCTTACTTATTGTATTCATGACTAATCCTTTTCCTTATACAATGTGTGCAGGTATCTTTGCCCACAAGGGGGTTGCAGAGAAATCAATGGCTATCCAGGATCCTGTTCGTAAGTGACCGAACTTCTTGTTGGTATTGTTTTCGCTTTCTTTGTTATATAAAACAAAAACAATGAAAATTCAAAAATACTCACCCATTTCGTATCTTTTGTCATTTTTGTGTGAAAACAATTTTTTGATTTAAAAAATGGACTGTTTTCCAAAAATAATAATATAATAATGATAAATTATGAAAGCAGTATGCCAAAACAAATTTTATATTAAAAGATAAATTTGCTAAACATAAAAATGATGTGTGAAAATCTATTCACCCCCAAAAAATGTGTGATAATCACTGTTTGGAATGATTGATAGGGGAATGGAGGAAGGAGCCCAAATAAGAAATGAATCAGTAAACTGGCCAGCAGCACTAGCATGGTAGAACACAAAATTTGAATTGATTAAATTATAACTTTGAAAAAATTGAAGTTTAAGTACAATTGTAACTCTGCTATAATTGTGCCTCTGTTAAATGGGTTGAGAATGTGTCTACTAGTAGAAAAATTGCACTAGTGCAGGAGATTATAACAATATGTGAACATTTAGTTAAATTACTTAGGTGAAAATGGTTCAATTTTTATTAATCCACTGTAGAATACAAGTTTCTGTGGTGACTCACAGTATCTGAAAAATTAATTGCAAATATATCGAGTGTTGCGCAATGGAAATATATTGCAGAAAAATTAAAGATCAAATTAGCAAAAAATACAAGATTACATGTTGAAAATCAAGCCACGTTTTCATCAGATGCCATATGCATCAAGCCCTTTTCTTTCTTTCGGTGATTATTTAATTCATATGCTTTATTTAATTCATATGCTTTCGGTGAGTGTATGCTGATATAGATATAATATATATTAATGTATAGTTAAATATGTAGTGGCCTCGTGGCCTGCTTGTTTG